GCACTCTACCTACGGGGATAGCTTGAGGCTCCGTCTCAAAAAAAAAAAAAAAAAAAACAATTTTAAATGTTAGCTGGGAGAGATCATGTATGTGTGTAGTTATAGCTGCTCAGGAGGTTGAATAAATCACTTGAACCCACAAACTTGAGGTTACAGTGAGCTATGATTGGGCTATTGCACTCTAGCCTGAGTGACAAAACAAGACCCTATTTCTAAAAACAAAAAATATATTACTGACCTGTGGAAACCTAAAGTCTGTTATTATGAATCTACCTTCCAGATTAGCAAATCCCACTTCTATTGCAGGAGAAGAGGCTTCTGTGTCAGCCCAACCAAAATTTAGTCCATTTTACTATTACTCAATCTTCTGAACACTCCAACTCACACAGTGGGTAGTAGCTGTGTATTCTTCTATCTAGTTTACTGTCTATTTATGCTGATTCTACAACAGAACATTATATATAGAAATAGAGACCATCCAAAACAAATCTGATGGTCCTGGAGATATTTAAATTTTGCTGTCCTGGCTTATGAAGTCAGCTCTTCCCTTATCTAAATTCCCACAGTCTTTCACTGGTTTCTGTTATCTTATGATTTCCAGTCCTGCCATACTACCATGTGTCACCTAAGTATGCCTCTATTTGTAGTGTCCAAACTAATCCTCCTCATCTGCTTTGAAGTGCAGAATAGATTGGAACTGCCTTCATTCTCACTTCATGTACTGTACTTCTTGATGTAATGTATGCAGTTCAGGGTCATCTTAATTATTTTAGATGACACTGCTACCACACACAAAAATCAAAGTTGAATTTGGTTGAATTTTCAACCCAGCCAGGCACAGTGTCTACTGTTTGTTATCCTAGCACTCTAGGAGGCCAAGGCAGACAAATCACTTGAGCTCATGAGTTCAAGACCTGAGCAAAGGCTCGGCACCTGTGGCTCAAGCGGCTAAGGCGCTAGCCACATACACCTAAGGTGGAAGGTTCAAATCCCCAGCCTGGGCCCGCCAAACAGCAATGATGACTGCAACCAAAAAA